ATTTATAGGCTAACATCTGGACGCCTATTCTGGAATTACAACGATAATTTAAAATGTATGAAAAATCAATGCAAACCCTAATCGGAAGAATAGATATCAGTGCAGCGATAAAAATAAATGCGAGAAGCCAAATATAAAAAATCTCATGATAAAACGATTACATGCCTTCATTTCGCAGGGAAATGCAATAAAAAAAGAAAGGGGAACGAGGATTCGAATGAGACTAGCGAGAAATATCTAAGGCCCCAAGGAAGCCTGACTTTAAGATGATGCTTTGCAATAATAAACAGGCTAGGGAGAGATTAAGAAGCACCGAAATTCAGGAACAGCCACTAAAATTATTGATGAGGGCTCTTATTATCTGGCAGTGAATTGGATCACATGCCATTCCACAATAAAGGTTCAAATATAGGATGTAGCAGCAACAAAATTCACAGAACGTGATTCCCAGGGTCCACGATGCCTGCACCCAATCCAAAGACCGAGGTCAAAGTGAGATCAAGGTAAACAGATATGGTGAATGAAAACACCAGTGGAGATAAACTCCCAAAGAATAGGCTAATGGTAATTCGCCTATCATTATGGATGAAAAAATAAAAGCTCCCTATAAAAAATTAATTATACGAGCAGCATATCTCATTTAAATGAATCATGAGTCTCGTATTCAAACTAGATTGTCCAATGACAGTGGAGAATGTCCAACAAGATAACATATCCGGCCAATAATGTCAAGAATCAGACAAATATTCCCTTAGCGTTTAGGCAACTATTATGCTGTAATCAATATTTTCGACAAATTTTCAGTAAAAACAAGAGCTGGATAAAAGTTCTAAGAGGACATACATTTCATACAAAATTTTGTACACCTTCTCAATGAGAAAATGAAGCAGTTAGGGAAAAACTGTACAGGAATGATTCAAGGATAAGCAACAAATAAAACGGCTATCTTTAGTGAGAATAAACGCCGGCAAGTGCAAGGAAAACATTAAAATTCTTAAACGAGTCTGATCGATAGATATACAGATGAAGCATAAACAGATATGAGCAGGTGTCTGCAAAGGCTACAAATATTCAGACTAGCATAGAGCAGAAGGATGAGCATGGCAAAAGCAAGGGGATATTGAATAATGCCAGCAAATAAAAAAGTCACTATAAGCTAAACCGAATGGACGTAATATACATGCAAGTAAAAATGCTATCGCTGGAAACTATAAAACTCTGTTTAGCATTGAAGGAGTTATGGAGAGTCTGAAATGGATAGTAAGAATTTATTTCACGCCAAAATGCAAATAATGCCTAAGACGACACGAAGAATTCGACAAATGAGGCTCAAAATGACTTGCTAATATAGGCATTAGAGAAAAAGAGGAGATAGGAAAGACAACGTCAAAGATCGACCCAGGAAGAAGTAAAATGCGCCGTTGGTGCATAAAGGCATTAGGGAAGCCTTAATTTCAGGAGTCCGAAACTCCACTAGGTTCTGTCGCAGTTCTAAGTTGGCTATCTCTGTTGGCGTGATCGACAGAAGTATTCTCGCTGCGCGAAATGATTATCTTGGAAGGGAGGGGAGAGAGAGCAAGTGGTTGTTTGTGAGTCTGAGCAAGGTGGCAATTGCTGCTGGACGTATCCACGGAAGTAGATTCGGCGGACTGGGATAAGTGATTGGTTGAAGAGAGTGAAGATGAACTATTGGAGCTTGATAAATGAGAGGAGGCGGCAACCTGAGGATATGACCAAGATACTAAACGTCCAGACTGATAATTATTAGAGTCGTCTTTTGGGGGAATAACGGAGGAGACTGTCGTAGTAGTGGTTGATGAGGTCAATGCGGCCAAGCTAGGACGAGAAGATGGATCAGGAATAGACTGGGTCGTGGATTCGCTTACGGTGGTAGGTAAGGAGGCAGGTCCCGGGGTTATACTGGTGCGAGAATACTTGTAACGCTCAATCATCTGACGTGCAAGGCGACGATGTGTTTCGGAGACCGAGTCAGGGGATAGGGGGATGAGCGCTCCATTAGCCCCTAAACGGATAGGCTGTGCAGCTTCAGTGAAGAGAGTATCGTAGACGCGATATACCTTACAGAGGCCTTGCTTGGCTTGCGGTTGAACATTTGGATTGTAAGACGAAACCG